AGTGCAATATGGGAGACCAGCTAAGAGTGTTGCAGTAGTCCAGCCCTGAAATGACAAGAGCTTGGACTAAAAGTTGTGAAGCATATTAAGATGGGTCTAATTTTTCGGATGTTGAAGTATTCACTGATATATTTGGTTTCATAAACATCAAGTTAATTAAAGTAGGCTAAATATTTAATATAAAAGATATCAGGTATTAGTCTATCAATTAGGTCTATTTGTTGATATAAAACTCAATATTTTGAATTAAGTAGCTTTTGATGTGTCAGCTTGGCTCAATATAATGTTCTGTCATGTGTTTACCCTGCCGCTGAACTAAAAATAGGCCAAATTGTTTTTAGATAGATTGTGTCAAAGCTGCTTAAAATAGAAGTTCTAGTAAATTGAAACTGCGTCTGTCATCTAAAGCATTTGTCCTATCAACAAAGTGCTGCATTTGTCTTTAATTTAATAAACAATTAATAATCTACAGATGTGGCATTCATTGTATCATTTCAGCTCCCCACAAATATTGAACTCAATTAACTGAACTCATAAATACAATCTTTCTGACATGACTTTAACTACATTCACAGTCATTCATGCTTCATGAATATATATATATATATATATATATATATATATATATATATATATATATATATATATATATATATATATATATATATATATATATATATATATATATATATATATATATATATATATATATATATATATATATATATATATATATATATATATATATATATATATATATATATATATATATATATATATATATATATATATATATATATATATATATATATATATATATATATATATATATATATATATATATATATATATATATATATATATATATATATATATATATATATATATATATATATATATATATATATATATATATATATATATATATATATATATATATATATATATATATATATATATATATATATATATATATATATATATATATATATATATATATATATATATATATATATATATATATATATATATATATATATATATATATATATATATATATATA